CCCAAAGTATTCTGGAAAATTCGTTAATCGCTGGCGTTCAGCGCCTCCCAGGTAGCCGAGTTATTGACTTGGACTATGCTAGTTGTATCATCTTTCTGGGTGACGATCCACAAGCCGTCCAACTTGCACCCAACCGCTTGGCGATTGAAGCGTTATAGTATGGGATAACTTTTCTCCCATCCAACTGCAAAGCTATTTTCCAAGACTTTCAGATGCCTTTAGCTGCACTTGCTCTTGATGGTGTGATAAGGCGTTCCTGAGAGTTTTGCCTACCTGGGAAGTTTTATCACAGCCGGTGGAGTTGTTGGAGATGAGATTTCGATGCGTATCTCAACAACTCGCCTCGCATTCTCTGAGCTGAGATACTTGTGGCGCTGCCGTGACATCCATCTATCCATCAAACGGTGGGTTTATTGTGCGCCTGTCCGCGTTGTACCGTTGTACGGCTGCGAGACTTGGCCTGTTCCTAACGTTGACGTGCGGCCTCTCTCTGTCTTTTAGCACCGTTGCTTGCGGTCCATTGCCTGTGTGTGGTGGTTGCACCACGTAACCAATTTGTAACTTAGACTACGTGTTGGCTGGAGGCAGCCACTCGTTTGTGAAACTCGTTCCGCTGCGTCAGCTGCGGTGACTTGGACACATTGCGCATACCCGCTTCTGTGTGAGGCCTTGTTCGCAATTGTTGGACAAGGCTCGAGGATACGGTGCGGTGGACAACCTACGACATGGAGAAGCCACACGACAAAGCTGATGAAACAGTTGACCTCGGTCGGTTGTTCTCGTCTCTCCGGTTGGGATTTCAGAGCTACAGAGATTCGCTGGTTGAAAACCATAGAAGTCATGACTCAAGACCGACGTCAATGTTGAACGTGTACCACTACGTATTGCGGTTATTTCCCTTCCCCAATAAGATAAACTATTTGTGAAAAACTAGTTTAAAAGTGTGGCATGTTCTGTTTTTCCCGTTCATATCTTGTTTTCTTAATCCAACCTGATTCTGATGACAATCTGCACCACAGCTTGTGATCCATATATATATATATATATATATATATATATATATATATATATATATATATATATATATATATATATATATACGCAATGCGTGTGGATTGAGGAGGAGGTGTCTCCTGAGCTGAAGGATGCCCTTGTGCTACCAATGTATAAGCGCAAAGGGAACAAGCAACGTTGCACGAATTATCGTGGCATCAACTTGCTGAGTTGTGTGGGCAAGGTGATTGCCCAAATCCTGCTCAACCGTCTCGTCAGTCAGGTTGTGGGACCTAACGTGGCGGAAGAACAGTGTGGATTCCGTTCGGGTCGCAGCACAGTAAATATGGTGTTTGCGGCTCGTCAGTTGCAGGAGAAGTGCAAAGAACGACACCAGCCGTTGTATTCGCTTTTTGTTGATTTCACCAAGGCATTTGATACGGTGAACAGCGAGGCATCGTGGCAGGTGTTGGGTAAGTTTGGTTGCACGCGTAAGTTTGTAAGTTTAATTGAATGTCTGCACAGTGGTATGCGAGCGAGGGTGCAGCTGAGTGGAGACACCTCGGATGACTTTGCAGTTGTCTCTGGTGTGAAGCAAGACTGTATCTTAGCTCCTGCCCTGTTTAATATATATCTTCATGCATTGATGTCTTGTGCTTTTGATGCGGCTTGTGCTTACGGTGTTCGTGTGGAGCCCCGTATTGATGGTGGGTTACTGAACATTCGTCGTTTCGGAGCGAGAACCCTAGTCTGTGAGACAACTATCCGTATGTTGCTGTTTGCTGACAACTGTGCGTTGTTTGCACACAGCACGGATGAGTTGTAGTACATGACTAGTGCTCTGGCTTCGACAGCGGCCAAATTCGGGTTCACCACCAACACAAACAAAACCGTCTGTCTCTTTCAGCCCTCACTGGAGGTGCAATCTTTAATATTGCCCCAATTCTGCATCGATGCTGAAGTATTAGTAACCACCTCCCACTTCTGCTACCTTGGGAGTGTGATGTCGACTGACCAGCAGCTTCACAGTCGGTTTCGTATTCGCGTGTAGAAGGCAGCGGCGGCATTCGGGAAGCCTGAGTACCGAGTGTGGAACAACCATCAGCTTACCATTGGCATGAAGCTGATGGTGTACAAATCCATGGTGCTGTCCGTTCTTCTATACGGCAGCGAAGCGTGGACGATGTACCGGCGAGAGGTGAGATATCTCGAGCGGTTCCATCGACAGTGTTTGCGACGGAATCTGCGCACAGATTGGTGCGACAGTTTCGTAGAAGGAAGTGTTGCGACAAAGTGGAATGTATGCAGTGGACTGCATACCTTTACTGAGACACCTGATGTGGCTCGGTCATGTGAGCCGTATGGATTCGACGGGGATACTGAAACAGCTATTATATGGTCAAAGGAGTTTGGGGAAGCGGCATGTGGGGAAACCGAAGCTTCGTTACTAGGACCTGAACAAAGTGAGCCCCATACGTTCTAATCTTCATTGCAGGTCTTTGGGATCGAAATCGGTTGTTCGTCGTGCATGGCGCGATATGACCACGAAGGCCGTTGTCGAGGTGCAAGAGAAAGCCCTGGTGAATGCAGAGAAGAAGCGGCAATGGCGAAAGCGACAGACACCGATGGGTTGTACTCCATCGACAGCGAACGCATGGTACTGTAGCACATGCGGCCGCGAGTGTTTGAGTCAGGCAGGCATAGTGAGCCATGAGCGGGGCCACTCAGGACCACCACCGAAGCGAGGACGGGTCCTGCAGAGAACGTAGGCAGAACCGATGCAGCGTTTGTAGGTACGCTGCATTCGATTTACTAACCGTGTGCTTGCATGCCAAGTTTCTTTATTTCAGGTGGTGAGTTTGTTATATTGTCCCAATGCTTTTTTATATTAATGTTTACATGAACTATCTTCTACTAACTTGCACACGTCGCTTAAGCTGAGTGTAGTTAGAATTCATAACATGTTAACGGTGGTGGCATTTTCTTAAGATATATTTTCTGACGCATTGAACCTATCCAGGATATTGGTAACCTTTTTTTCAAAACTGATTTAGTGAAGAGTTATGTCACCGTATCTGCATGCATTATTGGATCTAATTTATTTGATATCATCGTTTCAAGTGATTGGCTGTTGCGTGACATCCCCGGTGTGGATGCGCTTGATGTGCACGTTGACAAGGTGCCTACCTGTCTATTATCCACCACCTCGTCCATACTGGCTCCAGGAGACAGCTGATCTTTGCTAGAGGAGACGGTGTGCACGGTCCTTGTGGCCGTGTTAGGATCAAAGAGTGGTTCCATGCAGTCAGTGTGGAGCGGATTACGGTCCAGCCACCGCCTTGTGTGCGCTTGATTCGCCAAATACAACGTGCTTGTGTTTGCTGTGAAGGAGTGTGGGGTGGCTCCGTTGATGAAACGTGGCTCCCATCCACATGCCTCCCGGTCTTATTCCTTCGGGTTTACACTGGATATGGGGTGTGTGGTTGGAGCTGTGGGTGGTGCAGCGCAAGCCACCCATAGTCACTCTGTAGGTGCAGGCGTCCTGTGGCTGGCCACAGTGACAGGCGAATCCGAAACCGGATACCGCCAACCATATATATATATATATATATATATATATATATATATATATATATATATATATATATATATATATATATATATATATATATATATATATATATATATATATATATAAAATGAACTATTGAGCCATTTGTAACTTGTTCGTCGACCGACTCCAGTTCGCAACACTTGATTAGTCTACAGTTTGCATACAGCAGTCTTGTTCACTCAGAAGACCAATTACCATCACACTGTTAGATGCATGTTGTATCTCTTACCGTCTTTCATTTACCAATTCGTCAGAGTGTTGAAGTAGATCTGTTGCTATATGAAACTTTTCCCTGTAGTTAATCGGTAAATCACAGGCGCGCTATCCTTGTAACCGGCCTCAGAGTGTCCGTTTGAAAATATACCTCTGGTTAACGTGTAAAGTGTAATCGGAGCCGTTTTGTATCTCCTTGTACCTGTGTACTTAATAATATCACTTAGTTTTTCAGTTGTTCGTCAATACCATTTCACATTGCAATCACATTACCAAACTCGGCTAACAAATATGCAGTTAAACCGTGAATCCTAGCTACCAGTATAAACATTTACTAATTTTCCTTTTTCTTTTTAATAATTTCATTGGTATTCAGAGTCTGGTAAGGTTTTCCAAGACATCTGTATTCAATTCATTTAGTTCTTTTTCTGGCTTAATTGATCCAATTTTCTGATTTAGACACAAACTATTCTGGTGAGCTAGTTTTTCGAATACATTCTACCTTCCTGGGTGCTGGTCCCGCCATCACTCACAGTCTTAGATATTTCCATTTGACATTATTACATCTAGTCCCAACATTTATCACTTGCAATATCCATCTTTTTGTTTGGTAGTATCGTGTTGAGATACAATTCCCTATTTTATTCCAGTTGTTAATAATCTTTTTTCTTTAGTTTGGTGCTTCATTTTCCTTGGCTCGTATTTTTAATTATCGAAAACTCCAACCCTAACCTGTTGTTGCCAATCTGCACAATCTTTGCGCGTGGATTGTGATTACATTGATTATATCTTCCTTACTGATTATAACGCTGTAGCTTAATGACATCGCATCTTACTTCGGTGTTAGTTCCTGTTTCAGCGCACACGACTTCCTTACTGTGTATCGCTTATTTCCATACATTTTCTGGTTGTTCTTTCGAAATTGCTCTCTAGTCAACCAATCTGAATTAACTGCAGCAGCACGTTTCATTGTCCTTTCTTGCAAAATACTTTATTAGTCAGATGGTCGTTGCAGCCTTACAGATAGAATTTTCTACCATCGTTATAAGTGGGGAAGTTTCTGATTAAAACATCTTTGATTTCCGGTTTCGTTTTCCCGCTTGTTTCCCAACGACCATTTTTGACTTGTTTGTCATTTTGCTCACTGTCTTTTAACTCCAGGTTTATCATTCCTTTCAAGGTTTGCATCTATGAAACGGACAAATTTCAAATGGTTGCCTCTTTCCGACCGGCATCTTCAGCTAATGCTGCTGTGAAATCCATAGAATTTGCCCGACGAGGCGAGTAAGTGCACTATCTCTCTCTGTGTGTGGCACTAAATATCTCGCTTTACTGTAGATACTTCGATTAGCTTGGAGTTCGGACTTGTGCGTTTTGCTGAATAGGGTTTTCTGATCTACCGCATTCTCACTTCCACACCGTTGATATCTTTTACTTGCTCATCATCAACTATCAGCTGAAGTCTTGCGACGTAGCTGGAAGCAAATTTGATTACTCCAACTGATGCACGAAAGCATGTCAGTTCATACACTAGGAATCCGACTAAATGAATGATTTGCCTACTTTGTTTGTGGCTTTTCTGCAATTGTTTATTCAGTCTCAGATAGTACATGCCTGAATAACACACTACCCACCATTGGACACTTCAATACTAACTTTACAATTAACTTGGACCGAAATGAGGAATCTGGACGAGCGTGGCTGATGTGAACTCTTATCGGAAAGATCTCTAAGTCACTATATATCCTGAGGTAGCCTGTTGTGTTCTAGTACAAAGGGCATATGCTGCTCTATATCGCTTGAAAACGCCTTAATCATGTGTATGGAATAAAACGGAGCGCTTTTGTACGACGAAAACGCTGTTGAGATTGAGAGACAACTAAAGTCGGTCTGCGGTATATGTGACTCTGTGTTACCACCCGTCGCAGAGTAGAAATATGGCTTGGGTATACCTGTTCCGAGTCGACAAGTTGCATATTATTCTCTCCTACTAAAACCCAGTTCCGCCGTGTGACTGTGGACGAAAGTGGAGGCCAGCAATTTTAGCACCACCAGTGTGGTTAGCAAAAATGCCTCAACTCCCTTTCCCCAATATTCTTCGCATAATGATTCACTACTATTTGTTTGGTTAACCTTTCCCCATCTGCTCATGCAAACGTATGTCAGGTGCAATATAGAGGACATCATTTCCGTTTTGGCCATTGAGGTTGCGTGGGAACCGGACCGGCGACGCAAGAACGACGGCTTCAAAGACGAAATCAAATTGTAGTGTGAATTTACTGACAATTCGGGATCACCTGTGTTTGCTTAGGCAGCCTCTGCAACCGAAGCGTTAACGATGCACGGTGAGGTTCAGACGCGAGATTCTGTTCATAATTATACTTTGTACGCGGATATTATTAGGCACATAAATCTAAATATCTATGGTCAGTGACCAGGATGTTTCACTAATCCCTGACTTATCTGTCAATGCCGCTTGGGTTCCAATAACCTCAGTCTTGAGATTACCAAGGACACTTTTTATCACAATTTCAACACGTTGCTTTCCAATGCTGTTAGACATGGTTCTTGTTGCAGGGGATGTGAATGCGGAAATAGGGCATTTGAACTTTTCAGAAGCTCAGATAGGTGGTAACTTGGGGCTTAACCCAGAGCTCACGGACATTGGCGAATGTTAGTTGCAGCTATGCGCCCTACACCAGCCGTTTTCTTAACGGCACTGCTCTTAGACACAATAAGCACTTATGTACTACTTGGCGTCCTTCGTAAGCCCTCTAGCGATAGACTCAAATCGGCCAAATCGCCACAACTACCCTATGTCATGGTTCTCTCCTTGACTGCCGCTCGTTCTGAAACACCTGAGTACACTGATCATGCCCTGGTTCGGTGCCGATTTTCCAAGAGTTTTTCCGGGAGGCGTGTCAAACTTTTCCCTCTACTGGCAACTGACTAACTATCTTAAATTTCCGCCAAAACGACCTGCATGCCCTGAATAGTAAGTGTTCACCTATTTACTCCCAGGATATCATGGTTCATTGGTATAGTGTCTTGGCATCCACGCACGGCACCGAAGCCTCCGTTCGCGACATTGCCAGCCGTCATAACATTAGTCAACGGATCTCCGAGATCCATGTGAACCTGTTAGAATTCCGAAGAATACTCTGCTAGTAATGAGCACAATGGGACCAGACAGATCATTAAACACGATCTGAACCGATGTGTACATAATGCCAAGGAAGTTTGGTGGACCCAATTGATTCAGGAAGTGAAGAATTTTGGAGCAGCGGGGAATTGCTGCGCCTTCCGACCCAGGAAATCAAGCGTCAATATGACGACCAGAAATAGCAATATGGAAGGCGGTTTGACTCATTCGGCGTAGCAATTTCGTGGATAGTTTTTTGACTTCCGGTTCATTGACCTCTTCCTACCCAGATGGTCAAGATTGAGCCCTGGTGGTTAGTTTAGAAGCTCTATCGGAGGTTGAGGTCCTAAATGAGATCTCACCTCTCGATCGTTTTCGATCTGCTGATCTGAATTCCTTTGCATGCACACTATTTCGTGATGATAGTGAGGTTCTCTGGAAGGCACTAATCCACCTGTTCGAAAACGTCCAGAATGAAGAGATCATCACAGTCACTATGGGAACCATACTACTCTGTGGTTTTGTGATTTGGCTCCAGTCAGAGGTCCTCGGTCTTCGTTCCCTGTGAAACCTTATAGTTTTCGTCGGATGGCACCAGCGTGTGCCTAATGGTAATGTGCGTAGGCATGTACTGAACGGAGCGGCATTCGGTTATACTTAAGAGGCAACGTCCGATTGTATCTGACGTAGTGGTCGCCTGAGGAATCAGTAGAAATGCACATGGAACGAAAGGTTGCCAGGTATTACTCATAGTATGTCCGTGCTTTCGTCTCAAAGACGATGATGGATAGCCGTGTACTTACCTCTGGCCATCTCGAAACACAAGCGCATATTCAGAAAATCCGCATCTTGCTTGTAGCGCTTGGGATTGATTCCCCTGGGTACTTTTTTCTCAGAGTTCCGCGTTATTCAGCGTTCCTTATCATGTTTTGACGCTTATATGCAAGTCTGGTCAGTCTGCGCTCTGTCTTGCAGATACCCTATGAAGCGATGTGTGAAAACTACAATCCGGGTGGGATTTCATTGTTAATGAGCAGGCAGATGGAACGCGATGGTGCTCTCAGCGCAGGTTGCAGGGCGATTGCTTCTTTCTTTGCTCTTTCACAATATTTCTTCTTTGGATCATCTCTGTATTAGTGACACTGTCCTTGGTGCAGTTTGAAAAAGGAAGCATATTACTGTATAGCAAATCTTACGATGTTTGCTCCCTTAATGAACCTGTTGGGCACACTAGTATGGTTCACTCTGCCTTTGGGTGCGCACAATGTTCCGATCACCGGAGAAGAGTGCCATTTGGGTGTGTCCAGTGTGGTCACCACTTATGTATTAGTGCTTTGTCCTATTGTTCGATGCACGTATCTGTTAACCTATTTGCAGACAACATACATCTAAGTGATGTACAGGAGTAGGTTCTTTGGTGCCTCATTGAAGCGCCTGTTTAACCCGGGCCATTTTTACCCCATTCATGTGCTTTGCATACCCAAAAGTAAGTTGCACTGATGTGTTTTGCTTCCAAACACCTTGCCTGATTGGGCTGAAATCTGAGGCCATCCATCAGTTATCTAACAAACTGTGTAAGACTATCGAAAGTAGAGGCAGTTTGAATTCTCTCTGTCTTCTTGGATAGATCCTTGGAAGAGGTGGTCACATCATTGGTCCGCTACTTTATCGGTTAAGCTGCTGTCACTCTTGCACCCATTCCATCTTTTCGATTCATTAACGATCCAATCGGGAGCATTTCTCTGTGTTCATTGCTTTTCACTTGTTATTCTCAGTCTGCTTATTGGCGTTGCTACTGTATTGGCGGTATGAGTCTAGGTAGCTGGTCCGCCGCACTTCGGTGTCCGGATCGTGTTTGATCACATGAACTCAACTCATAACCTTTTATAACCATTGGATTCCATTTATCTGACTCCCCACCCACCATTGACCACTATCGTAGATATAGCTTGCAAAGTGTTGGACAGCGCCGCCTGTTGTATGTCAATGGGTCAATGTTCACAAAATTCGAACTCTATGATTACCCTGCGATCCCCCACACGCGACGCTGGCGACGCTTTCTCATTGCGTTTGTCCGAAGATGATGCAGCTTGGAATGCCAGTATGTTCATTGTTTTGAGGCCGGGCTGAAGCTCACCTGAGCGATAGGATCCCAGTCAACAGCCGGATGTGCGCCGTCAGATTGGCCCGCTGTTTCAAAGTCTCGAAGTCGCGCGGGGACAAATGGTGCCTGTTTGGTATCACTGCATACGCGCCTACAAGCGAAATGATGACTCCTGTCACCAACAACGAACTTTGCCGTTACAGGAAAAGTACGGATACCGTGGTTCTGAATGTTCAAGTTGGAAAATTGTCCTCTGATGCGCTGTATCTGGGCGGCCAACATGGTCTAGGCTCCCGTAATGATAACGGTGAGCGGTTACTTCATTTGTGTGTAGATGCTCGCTTATTACTTGCGAGCACTAATTTCCGACACAGTATCCGTCGGCAGGTGACATGGCGCCCACCAGCCTCAAATCAGCCATGGACGCAAGTCGGTCGCGTCGCGACCATTTACTCGATGTGTCCAAGACTGTCACTCGATTTGGAGCACATGTGTGGACCCTGACCATGCACTTGTATGTGCTGCTCTGCAGGTGCTTTTTGATGGACCTCCTCAACGACACTTTGGGCGCATAGACACCAGCCAGCTGGCGACGACAGGTGTTCTACATGCGTATCCAAGTACGCTAGCATCCGGGCTGAGTAGGCACCCACTAAACAAAGTTGCAGATTCGCCAGACGTTACTATCAGTAGGCAAATCGTGGCAAAGCAAACTGATAACCTGAACAGTGGGTACCTAACTGGTCTCTGGAACTTACCGATGCTCGCTGGCATGTTCCGGCTGGAAGCGATCACAATGAGACTCATAATCTCAGGACAAAACTACTTGCTAGCCTGATGAGAGACCCGGAAGCCTAGTGGTCTCATTGTGCGTCGTAGCTTGAAACTGCTGCTTGGACCCGCCTCACGCTCAGAAGTTGAACGTGATATCCAACTCGAAATTGAATAAGGCCGCAGATGCAGTTAGACTATCAGTCCTCTTCAAATTCGGAGGATCTGCTCTGGTAGATTAATCTCACAACTTACTTGTGAAGCTGGGGAAGCGGGAGTCTGTCCCAGCAGACCTTAGCCGCTCCGTTAGAGTCCAAATTTTCAGGGAAGGCTCACGTTCCTTTTGCGGCAATCATAGAGGCATCATTTTGGTCTCAGTTTTTTCTAATTTGATTGATCCTTGTTTAACTGACTGGTACTCTTGAAGGTCGGTTTCACGAGGAGCAGTCCGCATTCCGCCGAAATCGAGGATATATTATTCACATATTTAGTTTACCCGAATTTTTTTAACACCGCCATACATTTTTGCGATCCACCGTAGTTGCCTTCTTCGATATCATGGGTCTCTTCGATTCGGTGGATTGATTTGCCCTTTGTGACCGTATCCTCAAGAAAGTTTGCCCGAGAAACATATAACAATTATCAGCGCGGTGTATGCGCATATTTTGGGCAGCGTGAGGGTCTACTGCAAACTGTCCTCGCCCTTTACTATCTCCAGCAACGTGAGACAAGGTTGCCGCTGACACCTTTCCTCTTTAATTTCGCCATTGACGAGTGATGAAAACAACGTTCGCTGGATGCGACCTACAGGGTGTGGAGCTGCTTTCTGGCGCGCGATGTCTTGAATTCGTGTACGCCGACGACAGCGTCCTTATGTGACAGCTTCCAGACGTCCCAAACGGCACTGGACAGATTAGCACTGACTGTCAGTCGTTTTGGGCTATTCTTTGCGCCGTCGAAATACAAATTCCTCCAAGATTAGCAGGGACCAACCTCTGCACTGACCCTTGGTGGTGATCACTTAGAAGTCTTCCAGAAATTCAACTACCTAGGCGGTTGTATCGGCGCCTTTGGAATCCAAGATGAGATCACTAACCGTATAGCAAAAGATGGAGGTGATTTTGCCATTTTTGCCATCTATGACGCCGGCGCGACATCCTCTTTCCCTGATGGGCAGATTTTAGAATGTAACCCTGCGTTCAACCCTCCTGTATAGTTGTGAAATATGTACCATCAGGTCGACAGACATAGATGCTTGTTAAAATCGATCTTCGGTGCCTCCGCAGTTTGGCTCATATCTGGTCGCAACACCGTGTGGCTAATGAGCGTGTTCGACCCCTTGTTTGTGATACAAGAAGAGGAATTGAACCGCTCCGCAGAGTTATTTCACCCCCAGGTTCCGATAGCTGGGCCATGCGTTGCGCATGTCAGCACACCGACTCCCGCGACGTAGGTTGTTTGTCTGCCGGGGATGAGGATGGAAGAAGAGGATGATTTGGTCATGATGAATGAAAATCCTCACTTCAAGCTTGCTTTCGGTTGATGTCTTCCGACTGCCCTTCTTTGTTCTGAAGGACGATGAACACGTTTGGTTGGATACGCCAGTTGATATGGCGAGAAGCCGACCTCAGTGGTGTTTGTGTTGTGGGTTTCTTTGTCCCTCTTCTCCTCTTTAGCTTTTTCCTCCAACCACGACCTCACACCTGATGTGTAATATGATATTTAGCAATATGTTACTTTTTAGTTTTTGCGTTTTCTAACATTTGATGTCTTGTTTGTACTGCGACACAACTGAAGTGTCTTCCTCACCCTCAGCTATCGTGTATTTATGATGATGATGATGCACTATTTTCGTTTCCAGTCTCATTGTCACGCTCATACATTCGCCTCTTCCTTTTCTGCGAATATTTTCCGTGGCCCAATGTTTCTCCAATTTAACTATGGTTTGAATCATATGGTTGCATTTGAATATGTGGCGACGAGCTTGGCATTGTCGGGTTGTATCTTTAAAGACATTGTGTTGTACTAGACGAAGTGGGGGTCTATATAAGCTCAAATCACAGTGTTGAGTTATGAATGCTTTTCGGTAAATCTCGTCTAACATTTAACTTGTGGGGTTACATGGTAAGTGTACCGAATTGGGCTGAATATCGGTTTGGATGTTAACTTTACCGACCGAACCGATACATCACTGTGTCATTGAAAGTGCTGGGTTAAGTGCAAGGGACAGATACCAAGGTTTTCAACGCGAATTAAAGTTTAGCAGTGATCCGAACCAAATCGAATGATTATGAATCAAAAGATTTGAATCGCAGTAAAAGTAACTGGCGTACGGACTGCTTCTGTACATACAGCTCCCGCTTGATGTGCCGGATATAAATAGCTTCAGCACTTGATAAGAGGTTTATGCAATCCTCGCGACAGTTGCCCTGAAGTCGTGTTCAGAGCCTACATGAGCGTACTCGTGGATGTGTGTCATGATGGAGCTGTTAGAAGACCTGACTGTACCCATGTAAACCACTTCGGGACGTGCTCGCGAATCCTACAGATCAGCGCTTCATAGTACGACCGGGGTATCGTGCAGCCCAGCAGTACAAGTATTGGTGGGACTTTGATGGCGGCAACCTAGGTGGTCTATCCTTCAAAGGTTTTCTTGAGTAAACGCTTACTATCCTATACTATGTGCGGGCGTACCGCGGAATAGATCCTCATACAAAACGAAATCGGCGAGCCGATGTTGCTGTTGTCTCCAACATTTTGCGCCCGATGGTTTGCATTTGCTGTTCCGATTACAACTTTTTCCGTGCTCGATTCGTCTTGCTCATCGTTTACTGTCACAACTTTTGCTCTTTATTTTCATTCGTATTCAACCCATGGCATTCGAAACTAATCGGGCTGCAAATCATTCTCGCTCAGTTTCATTTAGTTGATTTGCTTCGCAGCCATCCATCTTCATACTTTGATCGTCATCTTTCTCCTGTATCTGACTGTTCTAAACGATGTCTTTCAACTCATGCCTGCTGACCTGCCATGCTGTCTGTCTCATGTTACTGGTTACGGCGTTTATGAATCCGGTCTTTCAGTCAACCGACTTCATCAGTAATCGTGCTCTTCTCCCCGTTTCCTTCATCTCGCCCTAAGCTTTTCGCCGACTTTCGTGTGCTCTTACAGTTTCGCAGTTTAGCAACTATCTTTCGTCATCACAGGGTCATATGATATATATTTCGCTCCTTTTTCCACATTCCTTGCATTCTTTCGTTTAACACCGTTTTCCCTCTGTTGGTTCTTGCACCGTTTCAGATGTTTTCTCCTCAATTGTTCTGATCGCGTAATTCGAGTGTTCAGCTGTGCTGATGCCGTCTCAGCCAATGGTTGTGAGTTAGAACCGAGGAAAAAGCTGAAGGATTTGGTTACAGGGTTTGTATGCTTCTCTTTATCTTCACCACTTTTACTGATACTACTCATCGATGTTTTTATTTGATGCTTTTTACACCATTACTTTTGATGAATTCCAACTTCATTTGAACCCCTGCAGTTTTTGCAATTGTGCTTCACACTCTTTATGCAATTATTGTAACCACTTTCCTGCCCACGATTTTATCGGGGATAAATCAGCCACGTTGGTTTTTCCGTTTATCGATTGAATCCTTCGGTATCAAATTTCTTCCTCTGTCCGGTATACCCAAATTTTCGTTTTAACTTGTGCTCTTTTTGAACTGTCCGTTTTATAATTCCCAACCAGTAACTGTTTTAACGCTGCCCTACCTCTGCTTCGTGCGCTGCCCAATCCAGCCTTGGAAAACATAAGACAAGATTTGCTAGACCGGAGTATATTGACGACAGAGCATGGCTAATTGTATAAGTTATTCGTCTTCACCTCCGACTATATGTTGCCGGACCGATTGGCGTCCAAACTTGCTCGCCGCCTCCAGTATTTGGCTACACCCCCGCTCACCTCCGTACCATAGCCACCTGTGCCATGATGAGAAACTGACTACGTCAGTTGCCCTGGACCACACAGCAACCTATATCGGGAATGGCGAACCGATTTCCTCAGCTTTCCTCTTGGACTGCCACAGGCCCATCTCGGGTCTCGAAACCGTGTCACGGCGTTCGTCCGTTACTGCTGCCTAACACCTCCCCTTTCGAATTGAGTCCGTTTGTATATCATTCGAAGCTGACTGTGTCCACCGCTTTTTGCCTTGGGAACGACTTGTAGCTGTTGTGTTCGTCTCCGCTTTCGGGTCGGCCTGCATTGTGCGTCTTCTGACGCTTGCAGCTCCTGTTATTGATCCACGTAAGCGCTCACTCTTCTAATCCGAACTCGTTTAGCATAATATCCAGCGGTAAGGCTGTTGATTCTTGGAGACTTTAGTTTTTACCGTGGTTCGACCCCAACTGATTGACGTGTCAGATCCACCTCTCACCTCTTGCCATTACTTCGCAGTCGACAACAGTTCCACTTGACCACCTTCCCGGTCTTAGGAAGTTCCACGCGTAAACCAAGTCAACAATTTTGAACCTGTATGTTTGATTTTCCTTTGCCGGATCGTTGTGCTTTTTTCCTCGTGTACGACACTGGGCACCTTGGTCTGAAGACTGGCTTAGCAACTGGCTCGAGGTTTTGGGCAACACTGGTTATTCTTCAACATCCGAGACTCAGTCGAAACAGTGCTTCGGGGTGTTGTTTTCCCTCTGTAATTTGATTTCGAAACATCGGGATTGATATCGACGGCTGTGACAGCTGGTTAACTTGCGATGGCTGGCATATATTCTTTATTGGCTGATCAAGTAATTTCAACCTATCCATCCAGTCGAGTCCCAGCAAATTCAACCCCGTGTATCTGTCATGAAACACATTGTGTAGATTTGCCGTACACGGAAGCTGACTTGGCAGTTCAATTTACCAAGTAATTTTAACGTTCTTCCAGAAGCATTCCGGGCCGTATGGCCGTTTGTATGAGTATCGGTCGTCCCAACATGCACCACATATCACAAGAGATCAGCATGATGTGTGAAGCACTGTCAAGTTGTAACTTGGTTCGTATGCCATTGACTTTCACACTTGTGTACTTACGCCTATTTCCCCACAAACGTTGAAAGTTGTGATGATAAATCTGGTCAGGTCAGGACGTCAGAATGATATGGCATTGTTACGCCTTTTCTTCGTCAATGTAGGACGGCCTGCGTAGTAGCAAGGCTCCTTAGAAACCCTTTTGCAGCAACGATTGCAAATGTGCTCCTTGAATGGACATCCTCAAGCGAAATACGATTCTCTACGAAGCCAAAGGGCAGAGAGGTTTGCAATGTAATGGACTCACGTGAACTGCTTATTTTTGAGAAGTGCGGCTGACTGCGTAGATAAGGTTCGGGTTGGACAACTGCTAAATCATTGAAGTTTCGTGCTTTAGATTCGTCATTCTTTGACATTCACTGGTCACTTGTTTCAAAGTAATTTCGGGATTCTGTACAATTTTGTTCAGAATTCTGTTCCGGATATCGGCATATTTGACTGTTTGTATCCCGGCTGTCATGTGTAACTGTGACCGTTTGTATTCACGATTGACACGGCTGATCCACTCTTCGTCCTCTTTCTTATTCATCTTCAGACAATTGTGTCGGATGACCAGCAATCTTTGTTCCCCAAATATTTGTGACCAAACTCAAACGACCTCATCAAACGACAGACCAGTGCTCTTTTTTGGCAAGATAAACTTTGTGAACTTATCATGTTCGGCTGCACCCAGTTTCCGCAGCATAAGACTTTTTTCTCCTCAGATGTTGACCAAATCCACTCGGAACATATCTTCATATTCGTAGAACCAAGAAACGAATGTTACACCGGCATCAGCATCATAATGGAGTTCACTGCTTTTTTGAGTCAGGGTTTCCGAAATGGGTTGCTTTCATTTGCCCCTACTCTTGAGCTCCACTGTACTGACAGGTTCTGCGGCAGCATTTCAATCAGCTTGATCTGCTATTTTTCAAACTGTGCCTGCTGCTGCTTCAAGTTTGTTTGCAATTGCTCATTGCTAATCACCATTTTTGGGTTCGATTGCAACTCTTCGTCGCCACCAATGTAATGCTCTCCTGCCTCTGCTCTCTGCCTTTTGCGCTGTCCAACGCAGTCAGGAAAAACAAAAGACAAAATTTTCTAGACCGGAGTATATTGACGACAGAGCATAATTAAATTTATAGCCCATTCGTCCTCAACTCCGACTGTAAGTCGCTGGGCCAAGTGACTCGTCGGTAAGAATCGACAAAACAAATCAGTTTGCTTATAACGCACTGAGGAAGTCACCACGACTGGTGATGAAACGTCTGCAACGAAACTGTTCAGCTCGGAGAACAGAACAAAATCTGTATACTCACGTCCAAATGTCTAACTTCTCACATTATCATTGGACTCACACAAGTACGAAGTCATTGTCAATGTTCAATCGTTTTCTGAATCGGATGGCGGTGAAATGTGCCAGGCAACATTTTCAACTGCTGCACAGATTTGACCTCCACAACTTGTTCTAGCAGACTGTTTCAAACATTTACCACTTCAGTTCAGTTTACTTTACTTGAACAATTACGAACCGACCACCGAAGTGCAGTGGGTGGATCAATTTGCCACGACTCATATCGAAAGAATAACAATCAAAAACAGATAGTGGGGTTGAATACAAATAAACTAGGAGGAAAATGTTAGGAAGGAAAATGTGCGCTAGACTAATCAGGATTGAACGAGTACTAACAACTAGGTGCATGAGACCGAATTCAGGATCACCACTGACTTCATGGCCGACTTTCCAAACCTACACTACAGCGTGTGCGGAACTCGCTTTATATCTGGTACCACAAACTTGTACCGATGTCCGTGTGGGGTGCGTGGCATTCTTAAATCAAAGAGTGACTTCAACGCGAGTAGTCACTAAGATGTAATATGCAGTAGGTCACGACGAGATCGGCTGTCAGCCGACGGTATGACAAGATGTAGGGTTCTAGTTTCTCGCGTCAGTCTTCGTACGGTAATCTTCGTAAACCAGGAATGAGTCTGATGGCGACGTGTTGAACCTGTTCGATCTTCTGTGCCTCGCCTCGTGTGATTGGACAGTCGGCGGGCAAGCCGTACTCTAGTTATGCTTATGCATTAACTTGAAGGCGCTCGTGGCAACCTCTTCAGACTAAGTACAAAGTTTCTGCCTGATCGCCCATAGCATGCGCTGTCCTTTACGATGTACCCTATTCGTGTTATCCAAGAACTTCAATTCGCAGCATGAGAGTACACCTAGGTTCTTCACGGAAGGCGCGGGATGTAGCGGTCGACCATCATTGGTGTAAGCGGTCATCACCACCCTTTCCCAGGCTCATGAATACCGACTTTTTGGGTTGACCGGGAGGCGAACTTCTGCAGATCACATGGAGAGACAGTTGAGGTCTTTCTGAAGTAGGCCGCAGTAGTCTGGAGTGCTATTCACTCTAAATCTTCAGTTCATCCGCAAAGAGTTCGCATGCTGATCTAAGATGCTGAGGCAGATCGTTGGTGTGAATTAGCAACGGAGTGGACCCCAGCACCCAGTACCTTGGGTTATGCCACTATTAAAGGTATATCAGTCGGTTAGATGGCCATCGACCTGTATCCTTCACTTTAACTCGCCAAGAAAGTCCTGGATCCATTGGTGCAGCGACCCACCAACACTGCAGACTCTCAGCTTGTCAAGGAGAGTCTCATCGTTTACATTGTCAGACGCTTTACTGAAATGCATGTAGATTACGTCAACAGATCTCCCCTGGTCCCCTACTTGCATCCATTAATACCTCGTCACCAGCAGGTTGGTAATGCATCAGCAGTCTAGCATAAAACTGTACTGTGTAGTCATCAATAGATCTTTTGATTAGAACGGCTGTAGTAGACCTTCCTTTATGATCTTTTCGGCAATCTTGGTCAAAATAGGTGTCAGACAAATTGGCCTGTAACTTTGCTGGGGTTATTGCCTTTCGGAATCGGCTTTACCACTGAGCATTTCCAGTCCCTTGGCAAGGAACCTTTGGACAGCGACCTATTGAACAATTCACTCATGGTAGGCGAGATAATAGCGGATCGGGACTTGAGAATCAGTGGAGATCGTCACGGCCAGCAGATCTGGTGCCCTCGAGTTTGGTGAGTAGTTGACACACTTCTTTAACACCACAAACTAGACTGTCGAGTTTGGTAGGCGCAGCACACGTCGAATTTGGTAGAGACACTTGGTCATTTACAAACACGGAAGCGAAGTGCACCGCCAACGCGGACGCACGCTCATTCTTTGAGGTTAGTTGTCCGTCCGAGCCTTCTAGCACTGGTAAATCACCTACCTACTTAAGGCGCCACTTCACGTACGCGAACATTCGTTTCGGGACGGGCTTTGCTGCGGATGCAATCCGCTGTT